GCAGCTCTCACTCCAGGGAAAAAAGTCTGTATTGATGAAAGTCTATTACTTTGGAAAGGGCGGCTTAGATTCAAACAGTATATACCTTTGAAGCGAAATCGGTTTGGCATCAAGCTGTTTGAGCTAGTTGACTGTGAAACGGGATTTATCCTAAACTTTATTGTGTATACAGGAGCAGACACTGACTATAGAAAGTTCGGATTAGGTGTTACTGGAGATATTGTCGCCCACTTCTTAGAACCGTACCATCGTCAGGGTCGCGTTGTGTATGTTGACAATTGGTACACATCTCCTGCCTTGGCAGAATGTTTGCATGACCGAGATACTGGTCTGTGTGGGACAGTAAAAGCAAATAGAAAGGGAATGCCGAAACTGGAAAATAAGTTATCACGAAGACAAATACAAGTTGCTCACACTGACGTCTGGATGGCAATGAAATGGGAAGACAAAAGAAGTGTGCGTATGTTGTCAACTGTGCACGAGGTTGATTTTTGTCCAACTGGCAAGAAACGTCGTGGCACAGATGAGGATATCATGAAACCAACGTGTATCCACGACTGTAACCAAAATATGGGAGGTGCAGACAATGTAAACAGACAACTATCCATCACTGAAACTGTACGAAAAACAATGAAATGGTACCGCAAACTATTTTTTCACCTAGTGGATTTGTGCCTCTCAAACGCTCACGCCATGTATAAAATGAGAAATGCAGGACCTGCTCCATTTCCAGAGTTTCGATTAGAGGTTGTCAGGGCTTTGTTGAAGTGTGTTTCTGAGAGCTTCCCTCGAAACGTTAGTCACCCTAATCGATTGATTGGACGTCATTTTCCGAAGGACAGTACATGACGAAGATGCCACTTATGCAGTTTGCGAAAGATAACGCGAAGAACCTCGTACATTTGTTCCACGTGTGATATTCCTCTGTGCGTAACTCCATGCTTTGAAGAGTACCACACACAAAAGACACTAACATAATGTCTAATGGTGTGACGTGAGAGGCAAGGGGACTCACAATAAACAAGCACCCCAAAGGAATCATATTTTCGCAACGTCCACGTCGTTGATTCTGGGTAACGCTAAGAGCGAAAGCCTTTTGTAGAATTATAAAATTCCAAGGTGTATGGAGCTAGTGAAGGAATTTACATCCACTCTCATTGACTGAGGGACTGTGAAGTCCCATTGGGCGGTAGAACGCGTTCAATCCGAGGGTAGAACTTAGTACTTCTGCACTACGGACTGTCTAGAATGCCTTCTTACTAACAGAAAGACTGTGAAGTGCCATTTTTCAAGCGCTAATACCCAATTTCATGCTTTGACTTTCAAAGTTCAAGGTCAAAGAGGTGACTAGAACTTTTTTTATTATTTTTATCGTATTTAGCGGTTCATAAAACATAGGTATACCAATTTTCAAGCTCAAATACGCATTTTCATTATTTGACCTTCAAAGTTCAAGGTCAAATATGAATCTGACATTTTTTTCACTATTTTTATTGTAATCAGCTCATCAAAAACATTGAAAAGCGCTCTTAAACCTTCACTTATAATTTTTTACATTAGCCTTAACTTTCTCTCCGGGAGTGGTCTATATATGGACCAGCACTCCGAGTGGCGACTTGTCATAAGAAGTTCATTCATTTAAGTCATAAAATTCAGCTAAAATGCGGGGTCAATTTTAAAGGAAAAATCCCCGGAGCGAAAAGGTTAAATAATATTATTTGAATGAGATACATAAAAGGTAGACACTTTAAAAAAATAATATAAACGAGGTAGATAATTCAGATGATTTAGATAATCTAGGTAAATCTAGATAAATTAGATAATTGAGATAATTCAGATAATTTAGCTAACTTACAATTAGTTAATTAAGATAATTACGATCAAGATAATTAAGAGAACTTAGATAATTTAGATCAGAATAAAAAATAAAAGCAAAGAATATAGAAATATATTTTCTTTAATTTAAGACTATAAATATTTTTTAACCTTTCATTGTGAAAGTCATTACGTTTACCTTATTATAAATTTCTATTATTAAGGTACGACAACATACTTGATACTTAATGCTTTCGTACAATTTAATGTTGTAAGTAGGCATAGATGAGAAGTTAAAAAAGATCAATCATCCATTTGCGCATAGAGTGATGCTTTCATACTTTTGTTAAGTCATGAAAAACCGAATATTATGATTAGCAACTACACTGAAATTTGAAGTTGGAGATTCAAGATTTGAGAACTGAAATTTGAGATTAAAGATGAGATTTAAGATTTGAGAAACGACTATGAATGCGGACCTACGGCCGGTATTCATAATCGAATCTTATATTTAGGATCGTCTTAAGTTTATCTTCAGATGCTCTGCAGCCAATAAAATTACTCGCACATAATTTGAAGATAAACTTAAGACGATTTTAAATACAAAATCCGACTATGAATACCGGCCTAAGTCTATGTGTGTAGTGACCACGAAATAAGAATAAGGGTCGATTCGTGCCTGAGACTGCGGACGTGTTGCATCGTCAGAACGCTCAACTTAAAATTTCTTCCTTTTATCCTATTCCTGATTGCTTTGCGGGTGAACTACGGCTTGCTCAGTAAGTATAACACCCTTTCTGCTATCCGTGGATAGAAATATCTTGCTTATAGACACTTTGTGGTTCTGAGTTTTTTTTATAAAAGGAAATGCGTTATGCACCTCCGCCCCGTGGGGATTTGGGCGGGGAGTGTGGGACTCGCACCCATTAAAACCCCTCATTGGCCTCCACCTGACTTAAGGGAGAGCCTGTGGCAGCTTTGCGGCTATGACTTCTCCAGGCCCCCTTCTCCCCCGAGTCCTAGACTTGTCCCCAAAGGACAACGTTCCCTGTCACTGTGTCCTTTGGGGTCGCGGCAGGAGGAGAGGGCCATAGCCTTCCTCAAGCCGCCTCTCTCTGGGGACTTGTGCAATGGCGTGGCAAGTTCTCCAACTTGCCACTAAGTCCCCGCCTTCCGTGACCGAAGTCAGGAGGGGGTTGATACACTGTACGCGCATTCCCTACCCGCGACCAAGCAGTCCCCTTATGGGAGCTGGGTCCAGGGGTCATGCACGAGCCATGACCCCTCCACCCCGTGACCGGGAGTCCACCCCCAAACCGAGCTTATTTGCTCGTCTTGGAGGACTTGGGTCCCGGCCTTGCTCTGCCTGTTTGTGGCGGGGAGGATGAATCTCCTCCCCTCTGTCGCTTGGGGGAAGGCTCCTTAGTGGAGCACCCCCCAAAATCCTTCTGCGCCGCACCCTTGGACGGCCGGGGTCCGGCAACTTTACAGTTCCTGACCCCAACCGAACTCCTCCTGGAGAGAGAGAGAGAGAGAGAGAGGCACAGCGTCGTCTCCACCCCTCTCTCTTTCAGTCTCCGGCCCCTCCCGGGGACCGGAGGATTCCTTTCCTGGGGCGGAGGCTACAGTGGCCTCCCCTCTTCCACTCGCGGCGGGCTCCGTGCGCACGGAGGAGGTGGGTAGGAGAGGAACATCCTCCCACTCTTCGCCTTCCTCCGGCCATAGCCGGGCCATGTCCTCCTCAGGGGAGAGGAGGTAAACCCCCTCCCCATTTTCTTCCCAGCCGGAGAAGTCTCCGCCGGACCCGGCACTTCGGGCCCGCCGCTTCCTCCTCTTCTTTGGGAAGGGGATAGAGCCCGTCCTCTCCCTACCTTCCTTGCCACCTGGTGGCAGCAGAGGCGCCGGATCCCCGGCGCCCCGCCTAGTGGCTGTGTTCCTCTTAGGGATGGGGGCGCAACTAGCGCCACTTATCCGGTGGTTCGATGGTTGCCCCCTGCTTGCACACAAGGTGCACCTGGGGGCAGCCCTACAGGATATGGCGAGGTGCCCCTCCCCCGCAGCGGTAGCACGCCGTCCTTCGGTCTACTCCGGAACACATGCGTGTCACATGGCCGTACTCTAGACACCGGTAGCACTGCATTCGCCGCGCTACCAGTGCTTTGACGGGAAGGCCGAATCACCCTACCCCAATTCTTTTCGCCCCTACCACCCGCCGGGCCGCCCTCAGGGGCATACGGGCCCACAGGGTCCTGTACCCAACGGGGGAGGAGCGAACCTCACAGGGCTGGCAATTATCTGCCGCCGCTAAGGCGACGGCAATGTCCTCCGCGGTGAAGGGGGGCACCACGTTCCGCATGCGAACTTCCGCATGCTTAACGGGACGGGTGAATTTAACACCGTCTTTGCCCTTAAACACTTCCGACGCCCTCTCAATTAGGGGGTCGGCCTTCTTCGCTCCTCCAGGCCCGGGTACCTGGAGGAGCATACCTCTTGGCCGCCCTCTTTATCCGGAGGCCGGAAATCCCGACCTCCTTCAAGTGGATGGCGGCCGCTGCCTTTTTTAACGCTGCGGCGTAACTGTCGCCTTCCTTCACGGTTAGGAGGACGGCAGCCCCACTCGGGAGCCTGCCCAGCTTGGCCCTCTCCGCCTTTCCGGAGCGCTGACTCGCACCCACGGGAGCCGCGGGAGGGCGACGTCCCTGTTCGGGGGGAGAGCTTCTTTTCCCCTTCTCCGCGCCTTGCGCCCTATCACCGCCGCCCAGGTGGACGGGGCGGGTTCGGTGGCAGGTGCGCCCGAGGACCGAGGGGCGAGCTCTCTCTTGATCAGAGAGAGGATTTACTCTCTATTGCCTCCTCGATTCTGTCCGTCAATAGGCGGACACACCTCTCCTTCGAGAGATCCAGAGGGGCGTCCTCTCCTAGGGGCTCGACAGCCCCCCTTCTGTTTGGATCCCCCGGGAGTCCACTTTCGGCGGCGTAGCAGATCCTCTGAAAGTCGGGGGCGGTACCGCGGTCGATTGCTGCGGGCTCACCCACCTGCGTTCCGCAGTCCGCCGTCTCTTTCTTCGACGCGTCTACCAAGGAGAATCCCTTTGAGTAGACCGCGTCGAGCATCTCCCGCGTCTTCCGGTAACGGGAAGACGTGATCCGGATCGCCTCCTTGAAGAGCCGGAGTTTCTCCTCCAAAGTTCTGACGCGCTCCTCCATGAGCGCGCCAAACTCACCCAGCTCCGGCCTCGCCGCTTCCCCCGGCAGAAAGGCGAGAGCAACGATGCCCTCGGCGGTCGGCCCTTTCCCCCAGTACCCCTACTAGTACCGGGAGCCAATATGGAGGCATCTTCTTCTACCTCCATGATGTCCGAGTCCCCGGATGGCGGTGGGGACCCGGACACGCCGGCGAGTGGCGGGGAGCGAGAGCATTCCTTCGCCGGCCCTTTTTCCCCGTCTCCCTTAGGGGTGACGCCTCCTGCGTCCACCCTCGCAAGAGAGACACGCGCTCCGAACATCTTTTTGGCGCCTAGCGCTAAAACGTCCGGGCGCTTCTTCGCAGTAGCTAATTCAGCCACTGCCCCTGCGGTGCAGGCAGTGGTTTGCTTATGGCGCGATGACGACATGGGGGTGCCTGGGACAGCAACACCCCCACGCCGGGCCCTAAGTGTCCGATCACTCTGGGCTGGTACGTTTGTCTCTTTCTCAGAACTGCTCATCATACTGATATCTTGAGGAGTGGTTTGATTTCGGAGTTTTCCTTCTCCTAGGCGGGCTGCCCACACAGGGCTGACGAGCCCGGCCTGTTCGGGTGCGCTCTTGGTCTAGCAGCTCTCCGTGGACCTGTTCGGCAAGGGAGACCCTGCCAGGAACCGAAGTTTCCGCCGGCATAGCTCCACGGATCAACACGGCACTCAAGCCCCTCCACCACGACAAGGTGGCACACCCTCGGAAGGGTTGTGGTCCTGAGTTAGGTATAACCTTGCTCAGCGGTTTCCCGCCAAATATTATACTTTCTTAATACTGACTTCGTACTGGTCTAGATTAACACCTGGAGACTCTAGTATGCCAAAAGCTACTTCTAGTGTAGAGGTGGAGATGGCCGTTGAGTCGGCGCCGCCGAATCTTGATCCCGGGCTTGTTGGGGGTCCCCGGGGCACTGTAAGTGGTTTAACCTCTAAAAGCTCTGCGGGGAGTGATTCTCAGGTACTTCGCCCCTCGGGTAAGGCTACCCCCCCTGGCCGCGCCAAGAAAAGACATGTTGTAGATGTTTCGGCTCCTTCAAAAAAGGCCTACTCTCCGTTAACAGAAACTCAGAGGGCTCTCGCCCTAAATAGATATGAACCAGAGTCAGCTGGGCCATATCTCGTTCATATCGATTGCGTCTATCTTGCAGACACCACTGAAGCTGGAAGACCAGACTCAAATAGTGACAAATTGTCGACCAGTGCCTTGAGTGTTTTAGGCATTGGGAAAAGACTCAACAAACTCTTGTACAAACCGTTTAAAAATGCGTATGACCTGAAGTCAATTGGAAAAAATAAGTTTTCGGTGATTTTTTCTTATTATATATTAAACCTTTATATTATATCATGCGCAATAGTTTCTGCGACCCGCCTATACAACCGACCGCGTAAACAGCACACGCGTGTGCGCCAACACGCCGTACTATAATATCTGCGACGCGCCTATAGCGACACGGCCCGAACACGTGCTTATCAGCCCACAGGTGCATGCCGCAGCGCGCAAACACCCGGGTTCCACACACCGATCCCGGACGGACCATAGGCCGCTCCGGGGTATAAAAGTCGGCCGATCTGAGCAGTCAAGACCTATTCCTTTCTCGGCGCTCGAGGTGTTGACTCGAAAGCCACTCCTAGAAACCGAGCTCGAGGTGCTGACTCGAGACTCTGATTCCGCTACCACTCTCCGAGGAGTTGACTCGGAGATACCGTTCCGGTCTCGAGGTGTTGCTTCGAAGTACCGACTTCCGACCGTTCCCGTCGAGGTGTTGACTCGACTTCCGGCACTCCGAGGTGTTGACTCGGCCGCCATACCGACCGTTCCCGTCGAAGTGTTGACTCGACTTCCGACCGTTCCCGTCGAGGTGTTGACTCGACTTCCGGCACTCTGAGGTGTTGACTCGGCCGCCATACCGTCCGTTCCCGTCGAGGTGTTGACTCGACTTCCGGCACTCCGAAGTGTTGACTCGGCCACCATACCGACTGCTTCCGTCGAGGCACAGCCTCGACTTCCGGCGCTCCGGCGCACAATCGGCCGTTGTAACCGCCACATCGTTAATCAGTCGTTCTCACGACTCAACACGTCACACTGTATATAAGGCCCGTGTATATAACTCCTCTCCGAATTAGAATTAAGTAATTACCGCGCCGACATGGTTCCCGCCGTGCCGAATTCTACCGCGTCTATAAAAGCCGCATAATTACCGGCCGAATCTCTACCGTAAATTAGACAACTCTAATCTAATAGACCGACGTAACTGAATTAAGACTTCTTGTAAATATATCTATAATAGAATAAACCGGACATACATTCAGCATAAAAACCGAGTGTCGCAATTTCTCGCCTTCCCCTTCCTCGAACCTTGGCACCGACCGAGCTGCCTGGCAGGCGGAAGGCCGGGCGAAGCCGACAGAAAATCGGCTCCGTTACACAAGGATTACAAACACCAAGCCTCGGACGCAAAGTGCTATGCTTATATGAGGCAAAAAGGCATACACAAGTTGATGGCGACAATGGACCTTTCGTTTAGAGAGGCGTCAGAGCTCTTTGATAAAGAAGGTGGGTTTGTCACCTTTTGGAACAGGACCCCATCAGTTCCTTTGCCGACATTTGGCGAGTACATTCCAGGTGAGGTTTTCAGGTTTACTGCTTCCTCTGGGTCTAAGGGCGACGGGCGTAGGCCAGATCCTGATCGTCCGTCAGGGTGTCGGGAGGCTGACAGTGGGACGCCACCTTCCAGTGCCGTGTTAGTTCCCGCCGCTGCTCGGACGGTTGCACGCAGTGGGCAGATGACTCGCCCCGCATCTTCGGCGCCTGTTCATACCTTGTCTTTAAACACCCCTTGTGATACCCTTTGTGGCTCCTCAGCCGCAAACCACTCAGAAAACAAAGACACAAAAAACAAAAATAAATTACACTCCAGAGCTAATGTAAAGTCCAGAGATTCTTCCAGGGATATAGAAATACCATTCCTCCCTCTAAAAAATCTAATACCTCACCTTCGCAATATTCTCTTAAATAAACAAATTACCAGCCTTTTTTATTCAGAGCTTGAAATTGTTTTAAAATTAGCAGTAGAACAATTACCAATTCTGTCATCCTATAATACATATAATTCTGCTAGATTTGTGTCTTTATTCTCCGAATCCCTCTTGCTCTTCTTTGTTCTCTTTGTGATGGTTGCCGTACGAAAAAGATGACTTCTACCAAAAGCTTGAACATTATGCAGTGGAACTGTCGTTTCTTGCCTCGCAGGTTAGATATATTCAAACATTTAATTCAAGAGGATAATGTTCATATAGCGGCTCTTTGCGAAACCCATCTAGACCATAGATTTTTAATCATCTTTCCAAACCATGAAATCGTTTCGACCGACCGAAACCATCAAGGTGGAGGGGTCGCAATTTTAATAGCCAAGCACATTAAATTTCAATTATTATATGACAATGATATTATAGATATTTGTAAAAATAACCAAGTTGAAATAATAGCAGTAAAAGCACACCTGCTCAATAGCAAATTCTTACATATCTTCTCTATTTATAGCCCTCCCCGGTGGTCTTGCAATTACACTGTAGTTAATTTCTGGACTTCATTTCTCCAACTGTGCTCGAAGTTTGAACCATCTATAATTTTCAGGGACTTTAATGGAAAAAGCCCGTTATGGAGCAACTTTCCCACGCATTATAACAATGAAGATAAAAAACTCGAACAGGCAATTGTTAATCCCAGCTGGTATATTTTAAATACTGGTGAACATACGTGGTCATCGTCTGACCTTTCGATACAGTCCTCCTTGGATCTCACGCTGGTCTCTCAGAGCTTAGCTCTTGATTGCCGGTGGAATGTGGGGACGACTGTAATTACGGTAGTGATCACTTTCCTGTTTATATCGCAATCCGTGATAGGTTTGACGGCACTATTCCCTGCCACCCGCTCATATCTGTCAAGTGTGTAGATTGGGATCTCTTTCGACAGGCTTGTGTGAACACTGCACAAACTCTTGCACAGGAAGTTGATAGGCCGGTCTCCGAAGTAAGTGTAGAAGAAACGTATGATCGTCTTACCCAGTCAGTTGTAGATGCGCTGGAGAACTCTGGCGCTAAGGTCATCTCATCAGCTAGTCTCTCTCAGAAGCCTCCGACACCCTGTTGGGATGCGTCATGCTCCCAGGAAATTAAACGGAAAAAAGAGGCATTTACTTTTTTTAAAAAGCATCTCTGCCTTCGGAACTTGTCTGTGTATATTGAAATCAAAAGAGATTACTCGCTTTCTCCGTAAAAAGAAAAAAGACGCATTCAAGTCATTTTGCGGTACACTCCATGTTTATTCTGACATAGGTTCTGTGTGGAGCACAGTTAAAGCCTTTTCGCATTCCAGAAAGTATTCTCGTGGAGATTGCAATAAAAATAACATTGATATTGAAGGTTTCTATAAATCATTCCAAAAAATCGCTCTTCTCCAACCTCCCATTACAAGTTTCCATTCAGACGTACTAGATAATATTCCTGCCTTGGAGAGTATAGTAGATAGTTCTGTTCTTGAATCTCCCATTAGGGACGAGGAGTACCTCTCCGCTGTTGAATCGTTAAAGATAAAATCCGCACCGGGTCCAGATTTGATCTCCGATAGTGTCATATCACAATATCACATTTTCCTAACAAACTTCATCAAATTGTCCACAAGTTATTTAACATAATGCTAGATAAACAATCATTTCCTGAACAATGGAAAAATTATTTTGTCGTTTTTATTCCTAAACCGGAAAAAAAGGATCTTACCGCCCTATCTCCCTCGCCAATAATCTCCTTAAACTATTAGAAAAGATTATTCAATGTAGGATGGAATGGTGGATTGAGAATAATAATATAATCCCCCCATTTCAATTCGGTTTTAGATGAAGTCTGTCATGTGTCGATAATCTTGCCATTTTTATCTCTAACATCAAAGAAACTGCAAATAATAGCCGTCAAGTCACAGGCGCGGTTTTCCTGAACATCGAAGGCGCCTTTGATAATGTGGTTCCTTCCGTATTGCTTTCAATGCTTTCTCGGTTAGAGTTCCCCGAGAAAATAATTAGTTTTATTTTATCGGTAATTTCGATCAGGAATTTAGACGGTTATATTTCTGGCATCCCCCTTCAGAGTCGACGGATAACAAGAGGCGTCCCCCAGGGCTCCGTCCTCAGCCCAATACTCTTCAATATTTATCTGTCGTTTGTATAAATGTGTTTGCCACTCCCGGTAAAAATACTAATGTATGCCGACGATATTGTCATATACTGCTCTCATCCTTCAATTAAATATATATATATATATATATATATATGTAGCACATCAACTTAATATTTCCCTTGGTAATCTCAATTCCCATCTCAAAGACCTCGGCCTAAAACTATTTCCGGAAAAGTCCGTCGCGTCTTTCTATTCTCTCAACTCTTTAAGAAACACCAAGTGGACGATTAACAAAAACAACATTAAGATCTCTCTTAATGGCTTTGACATACAAATCGCCTGGTGTGTCAAGTTTTTAGGAGTGTATGTTGACTACTCCTTGCGGTGGAGAAGGCACATAACCGAGATCCGTAAACGCGTGCTTTCTCGTATTAACATTCTCAAGGCCATCGCGGGGATAAGGTGGGGTGCCCACCCCAGTGTTTTTTTTAGTAGCGCATAGAGGACTGGTGCGCTCAGTCTTGGACTGGAGGTGCCAAGTGGTGTCACCTTTGCGACATAAAGATCGTTTAACACTCAGTAGACTTCAGTATGCCTGCGTTCGCGTAGTGGGAAGTTTAATGCGTACGACACCCACCAATGTCCTACTTGACTTAGTTAATGAACATCCTCTCTCATTCAGACAAAGATATCTGACCCGTAAGTACGCCTGTCGGGTTGCTTCACGTTCGGGTCATCAGTTGAACTCGATACTCGGTGAGTTCATACATAACTGGAGCCCAATTTGTAAGAATAACAACTTTGATCTATTTGATGTGTTCAAAGAAATTACCCCCCTGCAGGTTGAGTCCACTGCGTTGCCTGGTCTACTGTCCTTTTCGTTCTTTATATGATACTACAAATGTCTCGTTGACTTGGAAATCGGTCTGACGGTTAGGTCTGCCTCTTCCCCACACCTGGAATGGTCCAGGTATCTTGTCAAAATTGGCACTGAGCACGTTTTTTACACCGATGGCTCTAAACTCCCATCCCGGTGCGA